GCTGCTGCAGCCAGAGTGTGCATGGGTAACCCTTCCTCCGGGACAGGGTTTAGAAGCGCTGCTGCAGCCAGAGTGTGCATGGGTAACCTTTCCTCGGGGACAGGGTTTAGAAGAGTTACTGCAGCCAGACTGTGCATGGGTAACCTTTCCTCCAGGACAAGGTTTTGAGGGAAGGGATGGGAGACCCATGCCTCTCTCCGGGGTTGCTTGGAGCTTGGCAGTGCAGGGAGAAGCTGCTTTCCCGGGAACTGCTGGGGCCAGTCACTCACATATGCCCGCGGAGGGAGGACTCCGGCGACAGGGGCAGGCGTGCGGCTCCCTTCCCTCAGGCTCCTCACCTCAGTTATATGAACTGTCAACTTGTATTTCAACAATGTATACTGACAAAGCGCAAGGCCAGTCACTTAAAGTAGTTGGAATTGATTTGGAGACATTTGCTTTTCACAAGGTCTCTATGTTGCGTGTTCAGGAGTTGGAAGTGAAATTTTTTTTTTACATATTTAAGAATAATGAAACAAAAATAGTTTACAATAAAGTTTTTGATGATGTAAATTTGTTTTATAGTTTTTTTAAATATATTTGAATCCCTATAGAACTCAGTGCAACTTTTTTACCATTCAAAAAATAATGGCCTACTGTTTTTCTAAATTTTGTTCCTCCACTTTCCTGAGCAATGCCGGGTAACTCCCGCAAGTAAGAACATAAGAACGGCCGTACTGGGTCAGACCAAAGATCCATCCAGCCCAGTACCCTGTCTGCCGACAGTGGCCAATGCCAGGTGTCCCAGAGGGAGGGAATCGAACAGGTAATGATCAAGCGATCTCTCTCCTGCCATCCATCTCCACCCTCTGACAAACAGAGGCCAGGGACACCATTCCTTACCCATCCTGGCTAATAACCATTTATGGACTTAACCTCCATAAATTTATCTGGTTCTCTTTTGAACCCTGTTATAGTCCTAGGCTTCACAACCTCCTCAGGCAAGGAGTTCCACAGGTTGACTATGTGCTGAGTGAAGAAAAACTTCATTTTGTTTTAAACCTGCTGTCCATTAGTTTCATTTGGTGGCCCCTAGTTCTTATATTATGGGAACAAGTAAATAACTTTTCTTTATTCACTTTCTCCACACCACTCATGATTTTATAGACCTCTATCATAACCCCCCCATCTCTTTTCCAAGCAGAGAAGTCCCAGTCTCTTTCATCTCTCCTAATATGGGACCCATTCCAAACCCCTAATCATTTTAGTTGCCCTTCTCTGAAACTTTTCTAATGCCAGTATATCTTTTTTGAGATCAGACCACATCTGTACGCAGTATTCCAGATGTGGGCGTACCATGGATTTATATAAGGACAATAAGATATTCTCCATCTTATTCTCTATTCCTTTTTAAATGATTCCTAAAATCCTGTTTGCTTTTTTGACTGCCGCTGCACACTCCATGGACGTATTCAGAGAACAATCCAGATGACTCCAAGATCTCTTTCCAGATTTGTCGTAGCTAAATTAGCCCCCATCATATTATATGTGTAGTTGGGGTTATTTTTCCCAATCTCTATAACTTTACATTTATCCACATTACATTTCATTTGCCATTTTGTTGCCCAGTCACCTCACAGTTTACCCCTTTCTTCAGATCATTTATGAATAAGTTGAACAGGATTGGTCCCAGGACTGACCCTTGGGGGACACCACTAGTTACCCCTCTCCAATCTGAAAATTTACAATTTATTCCTACCCTTTGTTTCCTGTCTTTTAACCAGTTCTCAGTCTATGAAAGGACCTTCCCTCTTATCCCATGACAACTTGATTTACGTAAGAGCCTTTGGTGAGGGACCTTGTCAAAGGCTTTCTGGAAATCTAAGTACACTATATCTACTGGATCCGCCTTGTCCACATGTTTGTTGAATATCTACTGCATCCCCTTTGTCCACGTTTGTTTTAAATAACTTGAACTAGTTAAGAACCATCATATGCTTCATGCCTTCCCAGAAGTCCTTTCTTCACTAACTAATATTGCTGCATCAACCAGACAACGTTTTAGGAGCCCCCCTTCCTGGTGTTATGAAGGTACTATGCTATAAAAGGTTCAGCGGGATGTTTAAACTTGTTACACATCCTGCATGTTGCTATGCAATGGCACATAGGGCATCATTAAGTATCTAGAGAATAGGTACTTGAACCTAAGCAGATCAACGTAAATAGATAGATACTACGACAGGAAGGATACCACTCACAGAGCTGTTAGCACTGAAGGTATCTGAAGATT